TGTATGTTTTTCATCACTTTCAACAAAGTTTGGTTAAAAAGAGAGTATTTATATGACCTACTTTTAGGTATTTATAACTTGAAGACAAGTAGAATAAATTTAACTGCCCCCAAATATATTTACCAGCCTTCCATGATAGACCATAAAAATTATTATCCCGATCAGGAATAGAAAATTGAGGGTTAGAGAGATACAGCAACTCATTGAGGATCACACAGCGAGTAAATAGAATTGATATTGAATCTCACTTCAAAAGCCTATATTTTGAACTTGCCATGCTGTCCTATTATTAGCATACTATATAACTATCTACTACCATAAATTAGCTTCTAATAGCCAAAAGTACATTGGCAAATGGCTGCCTACCCAATAGATTAACAGCTTTAAAAAAATATGTTGGGAGATTAGATTTTTATTTAGATTTTGTACATTTGGTGTCTACATTTGTGATATATAGTATAATATTTGTATTAGAATAATATTAAACTATGAATCTCCAGAAGCACCATCTTGTTGCACATTTTTTTTCTGGAATAATCAGGAAGAACTTGTTGCACATTAAAGCATTAAATGTTATCTATGCTTTTATGGAGAGAACAGAGCATATCTTTACTGATTCTCTAGGCCAAAGAAAGACTCTTTGTACTCAGCCGAGTTCAACTTATAGGATACCTGTTACATTTAGGGTCTGTGTGCTTGGCATATGGGAAATGCAAAGAAATACAAAGTATTTTATTTCCACAAAACACTTTGCCTTAATTATAATACAATGTATGAAAATGGTAGGATTTGGGAAGTGTACCTGCAGGCTTATTCTGGAAGTAGTTTTTTGTTTGTTTTAAAATAAATTATACTTACTGAATGTCCCTGTATGCCACTCTATTAATTGACCTGAGACAGGTACTATTTCTAACCCTTGCTTAATTGGGAAAACATAAATGGAAAGAAGTATTTGGATCTAATGTCACACATTGAGGTAGATTATCAAGATTAAAATTGAGGGGCAGAAGTAAGTAATTCATATTTGTTAGTTATTTATAAATGATTAATGTATGTTCGAATCTATTATCTCTTTTAATCCTTAAAATAACTATAATTTATACAAGTGAGATTCAGAGAGGTTAATTAATTTAGTCAAATTCACCTTCTCTGAGAAACCTCAGAATGATCCTATTCCCACCCATACAATCTTCACCCTTAGTGTGGGCTAGGAACCTGTTTATGTATTCCCACAGTATCTGGTGTTAAGCTGTGTCGTTACACTTACTACTATTTACTGTTTCTAGTGGTGTCTTTATCTTGTACTCTGAAAAGCTATATTTTTGACAGGAGTCAAATCGTATCTTCTTATTTCTACTTCTAACATGTAATGCATATTACTTGCCATAGAGTAAGCATGAATAAATGCTAAATGACTGCATGAATGAATGCACGCTGGTAGAATAGGAATTTAAAGCAGTTGTCTTTGTCTTAAATTATTTGTTCTATTTCTTATAAATGTTCTGTTTTGTTCTTTTTTTGTTGTTTTTTTAGCATTCCTTCGAGTGAATACAAATTGCTTGCTTGTGATATACAACAGCTTTTCATAGCAGTTACAATTCATGCTTGCAGTTCCTCAGGGTCACAATATTTTAGGGTTATTGAAGACCTTATTGTACTACTTGGATACCTTCAAAATAGTAAAAACAAGAGGACACAAAGTAAGATTTAATTTTTATGGATTTTCAGGGGAGTTGTATAGTAGCCAAACATGTTATTTGAGCCTAATCCCTTTCTTCTTAGAAGCTCTTTTACTGAACGTTTAACATTAATTTTGTGATAATATCTATATCAGTTTTAAAAAGAAGCCTTTTGAGTGGCAAATGTAGAAAAAAATGATGTCTTGATGTAATTAGGAGCTGGCAACACATCAATGAAAGAAGCCACTGATTTTTCTTACCAAGCAGAGTTTAAAAGTTTACGTGGAATGGTAACGCCCATTAGTTTTCTTTAATGGCAAATGTTAAAGTGAATATGAAACAGAAAAATGTGAGAGTTGCTGGTTTAACTTTTTGCCTTGTGTACAAAAAGTCTGTTGTTTGAAACAATTATATATGATGAAATAAATTTGTCAACTAGTATTTTTTCCAGTGAAAGTTTTATAGTGGTCATTTGGAAATTTGCTTTAAAATTTGTTTTAAAGACAGTTGAAAAATGTTTACTACCATCAAGAACCCATGTTGATCAAAATTTTAAAATTTATGTCTAATAAAATATTGGCAGTTTAGATTTTTAACATAGTAATCAGTTCAATAAAAAAATTAATAACCACATAGCTTGAAAACATTCTAGTATCTTCTGTTTTTAGATATGGCTGTTGCACTACAACTTAGAGTTCTCCAGGCTGCAATGGAATTTATAAGGACCACCGCCAATCATGACTCTGAAAACCTTACAGGTTCACCCCAGTCACCCTCTGCTCTTCATCACACAGTATTTCAGAAGCGGAAAAGCATTGCTGGTGAGTATCGAAATGATATTTTAATAATGATAAATTAAAGGTAGCTTGACTTTCCTATGTTCTTATAAATATTTCTTAGTTTAAAAAGTTAAGCTATAAAATTTAAGAAAGTTTTTTTTCCCAGAGGAAACTATTCTGCTGCTTTCTTCTTTTCAGTGTTGTTCTCATTCAATTATTTCTTGAGCATCTATTATGTGCCAAGCGCTATACTAAATGTTGGAGGTACAATATTGAAAAAAACAGACACAGAGTCTGCCCTTGCAGAGATTGTGAAATAGTAGGGAAATGTGGAGGGTAGGAATAGAGATTATTATAGGACATCCTGATTTACATCAGGAGTTAGGGAGATCTCTGAGGAAATGAGATAGCAATATAAACATAAAGGATGATAAAGGAGGTAGCAAGGTAGAGAGTCAGAGGAAAAGTGTTACAGGCAGAGCAGATGGCTTATGTGAAGGTTCCCAGGCAGGGAAAAGCTGAGCTTGTTCTGAGAACTGAAAGCCATTTAGCTAGAATGTGGCACTCCATGAGAGAGTGATGCCAGGTGAGGCTGCACAGCATAGCATGGGCCAGTTCATACATAATCATACAAGACATGTGAAGGAGTTTAGATTTTATCCTCCTGGGAAGTTTTTAAGTAGGTCACATGGTATAATCAACCTTCTATTTTATAAAGATCGCTCTGTCTTCTGTGTAGAGAGTGGGTTAGAGGAGAATAAGAGAGGCAGTGGGGAGCCCAGGTGGGAGTAGTCAAGGCAGATGATGATGGCTTACACACGATTAACACATTAACTGCCACACTAGAAAAAAATTTTTTTCCTTGGGGCCATGGTGTTTTATTATGAAAATGGAATAAAAACTTCAAACACAAAACAATCCTAATGTAATGAAAAATTTGTTATTTTTTAATTGGTTTTTTTGCGCGAGTTATATGGCAACTTGAAAAATAGTTCACATGGCTCCCAAGGTGAAGAGACGTGTGAGTTACATATGCTTCATGAGGCCCTGGGCTCAAAACTAGCGTGAGTTAAGTACAGTTCACGTGGCAGTTGATGTGTTAAAATGCACATGACATCTGGGTTTGCTGTAAGTTAGTACATGTCATCAGTAAGTGTTAATATTGTTAGATTTCCTTATTTTTTCTACAAAAGCTACTATGACCTTTATATAAACACAACCCAGAAAGTTAAACACTACACATACAGGATATACACACCCATACACCACACATACACATACACACATATCTCCATAGTACTTAGGAAATTGTTTGAAGTTTAATCACACTTACTGTCTTAAGGGCTTTTAAATCCAAATCTTTCTTTCATTCATTATGTTCAATGCTATGCAAAATTTTTAAAGTATGTGAAAAATTCACCTGTAAAGAAAAGCTACTAGATACATTGTTTTGCAATAGTATAAATTTAAATTATGTTAAATAAAACTTGTAAAACATCCATGTAACTAAATTATTGAATGTAGTCTCTCCTCTTGAGCTGCCCTCCCTTTTGTACCTCTCTTTAGTCCCGGGGAAGAATTCTGTTCTTTACCAAGTCTAGCAGTAATTCTCAGCTTCCTACCTGCCAAATGATGACTTTCGGACAACTTTCCTTAGCAGGATTCCTTATATGGTCAGTGACTGTTTAGGTGGAATTCACCCTCTGTTGGTATCAGAAAGTATACCTTTACTACTCCTACTTTCTCTTTTTTGTTGATACTTATTCTCATATCCATTCCTTCTCTGCTTCCATCCCTAGATCCCTGGTTTTAGTTAATGATCAACTTGTGCCTGAGCTAACACAACAGCCCTCTGCTATTTTCTGTTTGATCTATGATTTGTCTAATAGTCTGTCATCTCTCTCTTTAGATACTTGTCACTTTAAGCCTTGGAGCCCTGCATAGCTCCAGGTTTGTTATTGTTTGGTTTTAGTTCTAATCATTTGAAAACAGATAATGGGCTTTTAGTCTTTTCACTGGACCACTCCCCTTTATTTTTCCTGACTCTTACAGTCCCTTGTAATGCTTGGGCTTATATTTTTCACTCTAAGTAAATGCAGTTTCTGTAAGCTATATGAGGATTATAGAATCCTACAAATTTTGAGCTTAATATAAGACCTTAAAAGTCATCCAGTCCAGCTTCCTCATCTTAACAGACCCACCGCATCCTATAATCAGGGACTGCTGGAACACGCACGCCTGCGCTCTTCCCTTTGTGTCCTGCACCACATCTACTCATTTCAAGTCCATCATCTCTCTCAGGTCTTTCTCAAGAATTGTTCCTGTTTTAAATGCTTCCTTTATTTAAATTCTGTCTTTGTGAATTCAGTTCACAAAATACCACTTTATGTGTGTTTATTAATAGTTGCTGCTTAGCACTCTGGGAGGCCGAGGCGGGTGGATCGCTCAAGGTCAGGAGTTCGAGACCAGCCTGAGCAAGAGCGAGACCCTGTCTCTACTAAAAATAGAAAGAAATTATCTGGACAACTAAAAATATATAGAGAGAAAAAATTAGCCGGGTATGGTGGCGCATGCCTGTAGTCCCAGCTACTCGGGAGGCTGAGGCAGGAGGATCGCTTGAGCCCAGGAGTTTGAGGTTGCTGTGAGCTAGGCTGATGCCACGGCACTCTAGCCAGGGCAACAGAGCCAGACTCTGTCTCAAAAAAAGAAAAAAAAAATAGTTGCTGCTTTGTAATTGCTTTCAAGTTGTCATTTTACACATATATTTGGGGAAGACTTTTTTTTATTTCTTCACCACTGGTTGAAAGTTGTGGTCAAAAATATATTGGCTTTGTATGCTATAGGTACAAAAGATACAGAATGCTGAGACTCCTCTGCTTCTGAGCAATATGGTTACAAAAACCTATTCAAGTCCATTTGTGCGTGATACTAAAGTGACTTAGAGGGATTTCTGTTTCTATCATTTCTATCAATTAGATAATGATTTGTTCCTTAAAGGACTTAAAACAAGCTATTCTCTCTACTGATAAGTGTTGTGGGGGTAGGGGTTCCTAAATAGACTCATTTAGCATTTGTTGAAAACTACTGAGATAAGAGATGCCTCCAACCCACTGCACCTTCAACAGGAGTTGTTGGGACTGCCAGTGGCTGCAGCTTCCATTATGGCCACACACTGTACTCTGGGAATAGACAGATTTACCCAGACCTTGAATCTCAGGATATCCATGGCTTGCAACCAGAGTTTCTTTAGCGTACTTTCATTACATCTAGGTTTTCAGTTCTCATACTCCTGGAGGAGTTAGATACTATTTTATTGCCAGGTTAATCTTTTTACAGTCTAATTCAGGTATTCCATTCCTCTGCCCAGCAGCTCCAAGTTGCCTACTACTCAGTGAACAAAAGCTTTAATTCCTTAGCCTTTATATCTTATTTTGATGTATTAATAGCTGTATATAAGGGAGAGGGATATAATTTTGTCTAAATGGTATCATACTCTGCCTACTGTTCATAAACTGATTTCTATTTCTAATCAATATATTCAAGTTTCCATATTAATAAACGTAAATATTTTTTTTCTTTTGAGATAGGCTCTCACTCTGTTGCCAGGGCTAGAGTGCAGTGGCATCATCATAACTCACTGCAACCTCCAACTCCTAGGCTCAAGCAATCTGAGTCTCAATCTGCTGTGTAGCTGGGACTACAGGTGCACACCACCACACCCGGATAATTTTTCCATTGTTTTGTAGAGATGGGATCTCACTATGTTGCTCAGGCTGGTCTCAAACTCCTAGCTTCAAGTGATCCTCCCACCTTGGCCTCCCCGAGTGTTAGGATTACAGGCATGAGCCACCACACCCGGCCTATATTCTTTGTTTTTAATGAATGCATAATAATCTATTATATTGATGTGCCATGATCTTCTTCCCTAACTTCTATCAATAAACAAAGGGATTTTTTATTTGTTTTTTTTTTTTGGTATTATACACAAGGTAATGATATATGCTCTTTTAAATGTATTTTTTCATTTATCTGCTTATCGATATGAAAAACTTTACACATCACCCTTAATGCAGAAGGTAGAAGTAGTAAGCATTAGGGTATTATTTAAAATACTACACATACATTTAAATCATCATATATATAGTTGTATTATTAATATAATTCATATAGAA